CCGAAGAAGAGAAACGAAGTGTAGCGAGAGGTAAGGGGTTCGCCTCTGTGCTCCCCCTACGTCTCTGCTCAAACTATTTATTCCGGCACAAATCGCATTACCAACTTCAACTGCAAAATTGACTTCGCCCAACTTTTACGACGCCTTCGCTCTTACGCCACTTCGACGCCACCCGCACGGTCAGAACTTCAGCTTGTACGAGGGTTTACCAAACTCAGTTTAAGAAGAAGAAGAAGAACTGTTTCAACCGGAGAGGGACGCATCTTTGCGGGACTTTCTCTCTTACCCCTGTCGATATAAAATCGCGCGACGCGAGCGCATCCGACGGAATGGCAGTTGGGAAGTTGGAGCCGCTGGGAATAACGAACGGTATCGTCGTAAATTGCTTTATTTTTTTCCCCCTGCCAACCGTTTTCCATTAACCCTGACGGAGAGAGTGCGGAGAGTGTGCGTCTTCCGGGGGCTGAAATGCCGTTTCGATCAACGGAGATCAGGGAAACTCGGGAAACTCGAGCGTAGCGGTAGAGTGGCAGCTTTACTGTCTTTATTAGTGAGAATTCTTTAACATCGGTAAAGGATATTCTGTATCGAATCATTGGAGCTATATAATTGAAGCTTAACACTAAACCTACCGACGTTCGTAATACATTTATTTATATATTTTCGTAATGTATTTTAATTACAAATGCTCCCACGTTCGTGTCACTACTACTTTTTATTATTTCTAAATAGAAACATTCACAGATTTATTGCTATACTTCTCCTTCCTCTCTTCAGAAGTCATTTCCGACTACTTAATTGGTCCACATTCTATTTATGGCAAGTACCATGTCACATGCAAGCATTTTTTATTGCTTCTCAGATTCAGTAGGGAGTAACGCACTTTCACTTCTAACAAGGAAATCCATGTAATCGCAGAAACGATTGACGTATTACATATTTTTTTAATGCAAGTGACCTATTAATGCTTAATAGGACTTCCGCAGTCGACGATTTCAGCATGCTATCTAAATGTGAAAGCCTCGTAAATTTTAGAAGAATTTATTATCAAAGAAAAATAGGAAAAATGAAGTATTAAGAAAATTTCTATTCAACGGATAGTAAACAAAATGATAACAAAATAATAAGAAGAAAATATCTATAAAATGCTTAAAGAAGCGTCTGTTTTTGACCTTCCTGGATACATGGAATTCTTTAGAGCAAGTAGGTCCATTGAGCATGTAATGCACGACATGACTTGGGTACATGATGTTTCACGCGAGAGGATTGATAAGGATGCATCAGGTGCAATCGTGGATGCGGACGTGCACGAAAGAGGAGTAGCTATTACGAGTCGTGGAGCAGAAATATATAAAAGTGAGAAGGTGTCTGAACAAGTATTACCAATCGCTTGGTAAGAGATCCAATTGCAGAGAAAACTTCACTAGTATTGGCAGACAACAAATGTGTAAATTGATACATATACCAATGGAACTATAATAGTTTATACGCTCATATGAGTAGTCAATCTCTATAACATTATCAAGAGATATTTTGATAAATCACGAGACTCTGGGAAAATCCACTATGCTAAAACCACATTCGTAGCCTTTCACCATGAAGTATTATGCATACATGGCGACAGAAGTAAATTACTGGCATCAATGAACCAATTACCAATCTTGCGAACTGAGTGGTTTGCTCGTATAAAGGAACTAATCATTCTTGACACATTCTGAACTCATATACCACCGTTGCTTTAATATCATGCGATTAGTTGCACAACACTAGGAGCCTGGAATTTGAGAAAGAGTATAAGGAATTTTCAAAATACAGTTATGTGTTTATTATACGAAAAAATAGAACACTAGTATTGACATGATATCTAAAAAATTGCAATTTTTAGCAATCACTATTATACATTCTCATGGTTAAAAAAAAATGTTCCAGAGGATACTAAAATATCACAATTTCGACGAGGGAAAAATTCAACTAACAGATTATACGCACACCCACACATAGTTCACTGGAAACGATTGAAACTTTTATCTTTTTACTAATGTAGAATGAAAGCCCGACCGAAAACGTGTGCTTGTAACTCACGATAAAGCTGGTTAACCATACGTTTGTCTTCTCGTTCGGCTTAATCGTGACTGGCCAGGTGATTTATGATTTCCATTTCACCTCAGCAAATACAGTTGTGCCGGCCAGACGCGGCAAGGCGTGTAAAGCAATTACGAGTCGAAATAGCGAGAGGCCGAAAAAAAAAGAATTAGGCGCCGTCCCCAATGAAAAGTGTTGAGATTATGAGAGTATTGCGTGATCGAACCGTAACGGTCGGGAAACAGTTTCCGAATCTTTTCATTACCCGCTACACGTGACGTCATCCAAAAAGTCGATGTCATTTCGATTTTACAACTCCTTTTACAATGCAATAAAATTTCAAACAACAAAAATTAATAAGAATACAAAGAGACCTGCCATTTTTATGTCTCAAAGATTAAAAGACACTGCTTACACCCTAAACCAGCAGAGAAAATAAAAATGAATTCAATTTCGTTATTAAAAATTCTTGATCAACTTTTTCAAAGACCAATAATAATTCTGCTAATGGGGAGGCGATATTAGCCCAACTACTTGCCACAACCCACGCATAACTCGATTCCGTGTACACTTGGAGCAATTATGCATTCACATCCGATATTACCGCGCGCAATTAAGCCAACGATTAAGAGACGGGAACTTGAAACACGGCATGGAAGACCATGGAAAAAACGTAATCGGCTATGTAAGCTATGTTTCTGCAATCTAACGTATTTCAACGTATTTCAAAGTTTTAATTTGCGCGCGAAAGACTCCATAATCGAAGGCGAACGTAATAACTTTCCCCCGTGTTCGAGAATTTGCACGAAAATAGTTCTAGACTCTATTTCAGGTGGGCGTGTACTGTTTCCAAATAGCTGATCCAGTTTCTGATCACGCAGTGGCTAATGCGTTCATGACCACATTCCGTGAGCATTCGTTATCGACGTCCCGACGCGCTCACTTCGAACAATTGCCGCACTTTTTTAATAGAAAGTTTAGGAAAATGCGTAAAGGAGGTCTGCATCTGTGACGGATCACTTGATTGCAACAGTCGAGTCAATAGTTTGATATTGTCCCGTTTCCAATCTAGGACGGTATTATTTATGTAAAAAATCGCTTAAGATAACGCTAGAACGATTTAACGATGACAGGGAATAATTCGAAGGTTACCATTGCTTCATTCTTTTTCATGGAATCATATACTATTCTGGAGCCTTTCATGTAACAAGAACTATGATAAATTAGGCGTGACCACTGAAGGTCGTTTCCATCAGTTACTGCAGTACACACGCCTCTATAATCAAGGATAATAATTAATGAAGCAAGAAATGTTCTAAAACCGAATAATTCCAAAAAATCTGAAGGTTTGCAGAGTTGAAGTACAAGTAGATCTAATCGCATTATTATGAAATGCTATAAAATTATTCTAGAGAAAAACACATCCCCTCTGGTAAACTTTGGCTCTTCAATACCAAGACGACAAATTTAAAAAAAATTGTATGAGACATATCAATGCGATTAGATTTACGTATTTTTTGTTTCTGTAAAACTTCAGGTTTTTCCAATTGCATCGGTGGCCAAACTTTCCTTGTTAGATATGGTAGATATGGCAACATCTTTAGAAACATAATCGGACGTTCGTGGGTCAATTGCTCCGAACCTCCTTATCCGGTGACCTTAAACTTATTTGTAGACTTACTTAACCCATTTGCATCGGCAACCGCCTGAAACGCAATCAGAGCAATTAGGTCATTTATAAATTCTAAATACTTTTATAAATTTATAATTACTGATGGTCTTGATTGAAGTGATTGGAAAATTATTTAAAAATAGAATGAAACCTTTTGTCCAGAATAGCAACGAAACTTTATATTCATTTAAAATCTGTTTGGGATGTATTATAATAAATGTGAACTTTACTGTCTTATAATATTATCTGAAGAGAGGATATGATTCCATTTTAAGATATTATGGCAACTTTCATATGTTCAAGATAAATTTACCCGTAAAGGAGCCAGGGCAGTCATGTACCTTTCAAACTACTTTTCATGCTATCTTTCAAGCTTTCACCTGAATTATTTTTCGATATTGCCAATTACTTTCACGATATTCGTCTGAATCAACCGATATGGCATACTTTATTCCATACATAGCACTTCCATTTTCCTGGTTCCCACTCTTGCATCTAAAGATAGCATAATTTTTTAAGAACATTGATAGCAACAGGAAATATCAACTAGTTTTCCTCAAGAAATATTTTGTGAGATTAGATTGATGAATGTTAATCATAATATTTGTAAGGGAGACGGTAATAATCAATAAGTATAAAGTAAGAATGTTAAAGATATAAATAACGATATTCAATTTATAGAATTAATAAATCTTGTAGTTGGATCAAAGATTGAAACTAGGTTAGTTAGGAATAAATTATATACGGAATACTATCAAATGATCAATCTACTTTATGTAGATTGGAACTGCGCACGCACAAAAAAAAACACACAAAGCCATCTAAAAGGTTTCCATTCTCTGACTCCCCCACTAGAATTGCAGCCCTCCAAGAACATGTTAAAGGTATAGTTGACTATACAAACTTCGAACTGACTGTACTCAGACTTCCCCCTTCCCTGTACGTCATATGGACGCTCTACACTTCACGGGCACTTATGCGTATTCCAACCGGCACTCCATCAAAGTTACCAACAACCGCAGTTCTAAATAAATTTTTCTGCTCCGTAAATCTCGGTGGGCGAATATGCAAATATCGAAAAACGATATCAGTTCGTACGCAACATACAATTGCGCAAACTCTACCTGTTCCGGAATTACATCATTCTAGCATGTAATTTATTCGTTTCGCATAGTGGCAAGTACGATACGCAAGGTGACGTCCTTGCGATTGTCTATTATCCAGCTGGCACAGCCAACTGGTTCTTCAGTTGTCAGCCAAGTCCCCCGATAACTGCACTGATTTTCCGACGACGAGCCGTGAAACGCATTCGGGTCGCCCCGTTGATAATCCAGTTCAAGGTGAACCGCACTTTCGAGTCGTACAAACGGCGAAAGTGGCCAGCCTGGGTGGTAGCGATTCGACTGTCAAGAACGTTTCCGCGCTGCTCCGTGTAGCAGTTCACTTTGAATCGCAAACTCGACCGTAGCCACGGTCCCAACGGGTTCCTGCTCCGACTCGAATCGGTGGATTTCATATGTTTAATATACAACGAAGATTTACGTTGTTCACGTGTGCCTAACCGTTCGCGTGATGTTGTTATTAAGTATCGTTTTCGTCCTCGGGACTGTACAATACGCGAGTGCCAGTGGATTCAGAGTCGTTTTGGATTGGAAGTACTTAGACTGGGAATCGCCAAACATCATCCTGACAGGGAAGAACTTTACTCTCGGAAATGCCTTCACGCAGGATGTGGATATCGACAGAAAAGGACGCGTGTTTTTGACGAGTCCTCAATGGCTGGATGGTGTGCCCATCACGTTGTCGGTGTTGACCAATGTCGAAGGACCTGGAGGAAATTTGCTGATCCCGTACCCTGATTGGTCCTGGTTCACGCCTTTCAATTGCAACAGCTTGGTGTCCGTCTATAGGTTGGCGGTAAATATCCCGACGATGAGTGTCCATTGTTGAAATCAATGTTGGATGAAATATGTTCTGGTCAATGTTGCATCAGATAGCGAGGAAGATTGCATTTCAATTTCACTTTATAATATTTACCCCACACAAATACTAATCTCAAATTCATCAAGCCTTTATCCATATAATATTTAAAAATTTTTTCTCATTTTATTCATCTTTGTTTTCACGTTCACTCGATCTATATTCCGTAGATTTTCTCTCAATTTTCTTGATAATTCTTCCTTCGCCTAATCCTGCCAATACTTCAACTTCACATAAAACCTACTCCAAGGCTGCGTAAAAACACGGTACAGCCTGTATACTTCATTAACGCTCGTAAACAAGGTTATTCATCGTAGGAATATGTTTTACTGTTTCTTTCTTTTTTTTATAAGTGTATTGACAAAATCTGTCCAGATAGACGAGTGCAATCGTTTGTGGGTCGTGGATACCGGTCGCATCGGCACGAACGCCGTTTGTCCTACGAAAATATTGATCTTCGATCTAACGACGGATAAGTTGATCCATAAATACGTGGTGCCGGATGATCAAGTGTTATACGGGAAGGCAGCATTAGTTACGCCGATCGTGGATGTCGGAAAAACCTGTCTCGATACTTATCTGTACGTGGCGGACGTGGATCAAAATGGGCTGCTGATTTATGACTTATGTCACGATCACTCGTGGCGGGTAAACAATACCCGCGGCAATGCTTTCGGCCCGGACGACGACGCCATGTTCATCACTATCGCTGGCGAAACGTTTGATTTGACTGACGGCACCCTGGGAATGTCATTGTCACCGCGAGGATTTTTCGACCAAAGGTACTCGCATTATTTTTTAAAAATAGGATAGGTAGCTTTGACAATGATTAATCGATATTAATCATGCGCGAGAAATCGCGGAAAAGGAGTTATGATCAACGTTTGGATCTCCGATGAGGTTATTCATCAAAGTTTTGATCTACTTCCGATCCACTCACCTCTGCAAATTCTCATATTCGACTATTGGGATTTATTACACAATTATATTAACGAACCCACTCCCTCGAACAGACTATACAAGTCTCCATATCTCATTATTCTTACTAAGCATATTTCGCAAGCCTGGACTTAACTCTCCTAGAATATACACTCCGTGATGAAATATGTTGGATATTAATTCCTGAAAAATTGTAATACGTTCGAGCAGCTCTGGCGCGATCGCAATTAGACTCGGTCACGCCGCTCGAAACACATTTCCCTTCGACGAGGATAATCTAGCGACACCCGATTTCCAGGTATCTTTACTTTAACTCGTTGGCTAGCTACTACCAGAAGTTTACGGACACGAACTCCTTGAAGCTAAGCGAGTTCCGCGAGCCAATAGTGTACCAATCGAATCTGAAGCGAGCGAGCCAGGCAGGTGTCCAAGCAACTTCTCGGAGGGGCGTGATATTTTTCCAGTTAGTCCAATTAACGGCCGTCGCTTGTTGGAACATTGAGAAACCATTCACACCGGAGAACGTAGTGATAATTGCTCAGGATGAGTTGACGCTCCAGTACGTGAGCGGTATCAAAATCATCGTGAATCGTCGAGGCGAGGAAGAACTGTGGTTCGTCACAAACAGATTACAAAAGACGATAAACATGACCCGGAAATCTACCGAAACGAACTACCGTCTAATCAAGGCGACGGTTGACGATGTTATTAGGGGTACGAATTGCGAACCCTCCGGCATAAAGCATACGGGCCCGGACACTAGCTCCTGGCACCAAGTGTGAATCAGATAAATCGTATTATCTAAATCGAATTTACCTCAAGAGTTCCTCCAAACGCATCTTCACGCCAGACATAAAAATATGTTTATCTGTAAGATATTTTCTGACTCGTGGTGTTTAAATACCTAAAGACGGGACGCAGCTAACAGTGTTCGAAACTTCACTTGTAAAGAAAATAGTAAGTAACCTAAGAAAATAGCAGGTAAACGAAAGTAATTTATTTCCGTCGTTTGTTCACGTTATTGCAATTAAATGTTTGTAAATCTTTTTACACGATAAATTAATGTGTATAAAATGTATCATTTGTAAATATTGTTTTTTTTTTCTGTACCTAGGATATGAAAGTATTCAATTTATTTGCAAAGATTTTCTTGAGTCTAGACGAAATCCTGTAATAGAACGAACTTAATCGATGTCTGCATCCAGGTGTCTGGACCAGTCCCTAAATGAACCAAAACAAACTCCATATACAGCTTCGATTTATCGACTATCGATGTAACCCTTTCGTAACCCAGGGTCGAGGACTCGAAACTTCCAGGAAACGTAAAAAATCGACGTTTTTCACCCTCGGAAAACCAGCTGGACGCCCTAAAGCACAGTTTCATCCAACCCCGATAACCGCGAACCGCTTTCGACGGACAGAACGAATAACCGCGTTAACGACTTCGATTACTTTTGTTTTTTTACCCCTGGCTTTTTTTTGTCAAAGACCGTACGGTAACCAAACGCGGAGGACCGTTCGGATATTCCCGAGAGAATAAGCCGCAGGAGCAGGAGAGGGGTATCTGGGAGTGACAGCCCAGCGTGTAGCAATTTAGTTAACCGTTTCATTGCTACCTTTTGAGATGTAACGACGAGGTCTGGCCGTGACAGGGGCGTCACCAGGAGCCCGAATGTTTCGATGGCGGTTGCTCGCCAACAGGGGAAGACAGAGGTGTCGCGGGTCTCCTGGCCGCCGGCAACCAAGCAGTGGCGGCCCCTTTTTGATTCCTCGGCGACGATATCTCCAAGTTTTATCAGCCTTTCGGGCGCTGCAAGGTCGAAGCAGGGTTCGTAGGTGGGCGTAGAGGGTGTGGGCTGGTTGAGATAAATGCGCATTCACGAGGAATTGTTCGTGTTACTGCCACGGCACTCTCGGGATACCAATAGAGCGCGCAATGCCGGGAAATTCGTGTCACCTACTTCTCTTTCTACGGCGCAGTTCGGCGTGTGACTAATGGCGGCATATTCATGGCACAGCTTCGCCTCTCCAGCTCCCCTCAACACTACCCCGATCCCGCACCCTTCGCGAAGCTCTGGCAGTTAACCTCAGACAACCCCTTCGTCGTGATAATATACGGCTGCCCTTAAATTTTCGTTCCCCTTCGGTGCCTAGCGCCCCTCCCACCCGTCCCTGGCGTCAGCCTATTCCGACACGTATGGCAGAAAACCTCCTGTGTTGGTCGGCCGTTGATAACCGATCCGAGCTATGATCGCGAAGAAAGAAGTTTCGATAACTCGGAAACCTTTTGTTGTATACATTTACGTAGAGAATTTTAAAAAACAGAATGACGGCAGGTCGTCCACATCATCTCCAAACCCCAAAATGCTTCAGACACATCAGTTCCACGACCTGGTGGGGATAACCAGGCGCCTCTTAGACAGGATTTACCCTATTATGCAAATTTCGTGACCCCGTGAGCGCAAGTCCCGGTACCAAACGGGCCAGCCCCGCTGATGAGGGTGATACGCGACGAACTTATAGTCCGTACGAGATAAGAATATGGTCGTCAAGGGGTTAATAAGCGAGGTTATAAAGGGGACGACGATAAAGAAACCCTGTGAAACACGACACAGCCGTTCAATATTCTTTTTACGCGATTTCGTAAAGTGGGGCCGACTGAGTTATAGCACTCGTTCAATATACCATCGTCATGTGGAGGTATTATAAAATATTGCGATCCAGGGCGAAAAGGCCGAGCAGAGAGGTATAATATCATTGACCGCAAACGATCCACGAGAGGAGAGAGGGGGGGGGGACACGTTCTCACGATCGAACTCGTTACCTTAAGGGCACGACGTGGAATTACTTAAGAGGTGATAGGCGTCAGCGGTAAAGTCTGCACAGCGGACGAGTCTCCGGCGCGCGAAGAAAAGGTCTGAAATCGTTTTACGAGGGTACTTTTAAAACAACTTTACGAGAACACCGGCGGAATTTCGAAATAAATTTGCATCAGTTTTACTGCCCCTAATATACATAACTACCACTGTTTGGCACTGATACTCGGTACCTCCTCCAGTCCACTGGCTGCAACGAGTGTTTGTAATATGATGCAAGACCGCCCCGGTGTTGGAAGAAAAGATGCGCGCTTTTGGACTCTTTACAACCGGCGCGAAGTTGCGCCTGCTTGGTAAACTTGGTAACACGAGTTGCGAAAAGCCTCGGCCTAATTTATCGGCACGTAACAACGGGAAAGTTTGTCTTGCGAAAACTTTTTTCTTTTCGCCGTGTCCCCGGAATCGACGCTTAAGAGGCACTCTTTTATTTTCGTGGCAATATTCATGATTCACTTGCAGTCGAAGTGATTGATTAAGGGTACATAGAGGGTACGAATATTTATGGTATTGAATGTAAATCTAAACAATAATCCCTGTTCCTGCATTTTTAATTTGGTTTCTTGATTCTCGAACACCAATCGTGGTAACGTTTCGGTAATAAAATGATTGAAAGTTCAAACCGAATAGCCTGTAAAGTAATTGCTCGTCTAGGGTTTAGCGACACGGTATCAAATTGCAAATTGGCCCCCCCGGAGGCGAAAACGAATTCGACATGCCAACTTCACGGGTTTCTCACCGTCGAGTACACGTTTATCGACACGCAACGCCAAAACGGTTACTTACGCAACGAAACGCCACCGCCGCGCGTCGTTACATAAAAATTCAATTACGCGCAGTTAATGAATCCACGGAGAAACAGGCACCGCTCTCCCGCGCAAGAATGTCTCCCAATTAAGAGATAAAACGGAAAGAGCGACAAAGCGGGGTGAGAGGGGGGGGGGGGCATTAAATGCATCGTTGGCTGGGAATGAAATTTTAAAGTTTAATCGCGAAATTAACCGTGTGTTTCGCAGTCGTGGCTTTTCAGCTGACCACGTTAAATTACTTGTTTTTCGCTAAATTCCACCCGTTCCCTGTGCCTCGAACAAGCATGATTTTGTAAGCTGTGTCGGTAAGAAAACGTAAGAAGAAGCATAAGAAGATGAAAAGTTCTTACAAGATAGGAGACTATAAGAATTTAATAATGAAGACAGTTCTGGTTATTAAAATCATTAGACTCATGATATGGTTAGCTAGGGAAAGAATAGTTTCAGTGTTCAGTGTTCAGTTTGAATATTATTGTACTGTCCACTCAGGCATTGAGCTTTCGCTATTACTAAAATGTCTACGTTGTTGATAAGGTATAGGTAGAAACTAACACAAGACTAGGACTCCAAAGATAGAACCTACCCCGAGGGTTTTATCAAAATCCTCTAAGATCTATCAGAAGGGTTAAAAAAAGAAACCTACCCAAAAGTCTCAAAGATTTTTGCTCCTAAATCGTATATATATATCTCTAAAACTCTTTCTGGAGCTACATTTTTGTTTTTCCACATCTTCTATCCGAAAACGATACACTCAGGCACTCTAATCGCCTCCAATAAACAAGCTGGCCGGGGCTGGTGGAGCTGAAGCCACCCGCAACGAACTCACGTGGGTATCCGTTTCCAATTTGAAGGAACGCGGTGCTCCTGTCCGCGATGGAACGTAGAGGGAATTTCGGCCATTCCTCCCGTCTTTATTAAGGCAGCTCATCTATAATTCACCGAGTGGCCTAGACGGGCTGACAGTGCCGGACTCACCAGCCGCATAAACACACGGCATCTCGCGCAGAGGCTCGTGTACGCCGGTGTGTGGCATGCATTGCAGTTGTCAGCTCTAGTCAACGTGTAATTTACTATCTTGCCTCGGCTCAATGCAGCTGCACCCGCTGCTCGGAACCTGGACCACCGACCACCGTCTGCCAGCCAGAACGTCGGTGCTAACGGCTACCGGGAGCCCCCGAACATCGGCCGCACCGCTGTTGCCGTATTGCCGTTGTTGCTGTCGCTAGTTGCGATCCAAGTGGGCGATAATGGCCAGCCAGGTACTACTGACCACTCCGAACCAGCACAGTGGAAGGTCCCCCCATAAACTAACTGCTACATCCTGATTACTGCTTCGCCATTAGTTCGCGGAGATGTTTGACCCTCGCGCGGATGCGGTTTCGGGTCTTCCAGGACCCTTGTTTATGGAAGGCGTCACGGTCGACGTTGCTTGGGTAATATGCTCGTTTGGGACTGGAGTGGTTCTACTTTTTACGATAGGTGAACATGGATTAAGTTTTGGGGTGGTAGATTGTGAGGGGGTTCCTTCTGTTTATTGTAATGTTAAATAGTAATTGGGATCCCTAGGGAGGCTTCTTTTTGTGCAAGAAAAATTTCTGAAAAATGAGAAGGACAATCTGTTGAAATAAAGTAATCGTTGGAGGTAGGTTGAAATCGGAATAGACAGATTGAGTTACTACTTCGTCAGATGTATTTACATAGAAGTAACGGAATAGAAAGTGAATTATTATTATGCAACATTGTTGCTTAATTATACGTCATAGATACAGAAGTGGTTCGTTGATAGTGATAACACGCTGATATTCGTGAGCTGGTTAGAAGTTAAACGATATTATGAAATGCAGATCAGGTTCGATGTAAATGATATGCGAATAATAACATATCACAAGTAAGTATATGTTGTCAGACAAGTAACGAAAACGATATGGCAGTTGACAGCAACATTCAAGTTTATAATCAAGTTTGAAAAGATACATTTTCATTTAAAAGTAGCTGTAAAAATAATTTTAAGTTTTCTAGAAAAGAAAGGTGTTTTGTTTAAGAATTGTAACACAAAAGTTTCTTAATGTTATTGACAAACGTTTCTAGGAACCTTATTATTAGCTCCTGAGTTATTGCATCCAGTTCAATCTGCGCTTCTACGTTCACTTAGAGTTACCTCCACAGAGCAGGAAGTGAACCGGATTCAGATTATTGGCTGCAGCGAGGCTATGGCGAAACTCTTACATAATTACTTATCATGGTTATATTGGAATCCGGTATTTAATAATAATAATAGGACGAAAAGTTCACTAGGTCATTTGATCGATGAGACACCATTGCAGTAAAATGTTATGAAATAATAGACGGTGCCTTGATTTGAAATACTTTTATATATATTCTTAAAAAACGCTTCGAAAATGTTGTGCATTAAAATGGCA